CTTCCTTTTCCGGGGACCCCGGGATTTGAACCGGGGTCCCCTGGCCTGGCAGCCAGCTAGCTAACCACCAGGCCACAGGCCTCTTGATAGATAAGATTTCGGAACTTATATTTAAAGGTTAGGATTGCGCAATTTCAAGAAAGGTCAAAGGGCACAGCATATTTGCATGTATTTAAATAACAAAACAGAAATTTCAATATGTTAAAAGCAGAGAATATACAAAATCTTGTTATAAACATTAAAATTTGTCAACTTTTCTGGATGAGTGGGGGCGCTACGGCTGTGATGTATTAAAAATCAGGGAATTCAGGCAGCCTTCAGTTCTTTTTTTCCTCTTTCCATTACCGTTGTGCGATAAAGGCAGTGTTCAGTTCTTTTTTTCCTATTTTTAATCATTGTGTGATTAATGCAGTGTTCCGTTCTTTTTTCCCTTCTATCTTTCCATTATCATTGGGTGATGTAGTAGGCTTCATGGAATTGTAATAGCGCCCTCTATGGTTGGTCAGCATTTCAAAGCAGAGCCTCTGATGCAGCAAACACGACGGAAATGCCTCCTGCCAGGATTGCTAGGAGAACCCAATTAACGTCATCAAGTTCTGTCAGTGTTAACCCTGAAGTTGCCGGGTTATTTTGCACCATCTCACAGCAGAGATCTTGACCGTCCCAACCCCGATTTTTTTCAACACTCGGCATGCATGTAAAACACTCCTTATCAATGCAAATGTGGAGATTCAAATCAATTCGACACACAACTTAAAGTGGATACGGTCATTTGAAGTTGAAGGTTACAAGCATACCAGCAACCATGTGCACTCAGCACAGCAGTTGAAAGTGCAGGTATGTTTTTCTTGGTTGACCTGTTTCGGGAATGTGGGTGCTGCATGAGAACAGTATATGCAATTTTCACAGAACTGCTTTTAAAGTGACTGTAAAAAGCTGCTATATGAAACTAAAGGCTTGGCTCATAAAAAATGGAAAAGTATGGCTGACCTCTTTCATGTGGCCAAGAGGTTAGGGTCTACAGTTTCCAATCATAGAGTTGGTGGTTCGAATCCAGTTGCTGGCAGTATGTTGTGGCCCTTGGCAAGCCACTTCACCCCTGCTTGCCTCTCTCCACCCAGGAGTATAAATGGGTACCAGCATTAGCTGGCAAGCAACCTGTGATGGACTTGCATCCCATCCAGGGGGAAAAAGAAATGTTCTCAGTTGTTTCATGCCAAGGAAACCGCAATAAACACCGGCCTGATGAGCCAAATTGGCCCAAACCAGACTTGCTTTTTTGGGGCTGTTTCAGGAAAAAGGGGTGCTTGTAGCGTGAGCGATACATATATGTGCAATTTTCACAGAGTTGGTGTCAAAAAGACCACAAAAGAGTCACTGAAAAACTCCTGAAGGCTCAACAACTGTACTGTGGCGATATCAGAAAAAAATCTTGAGGGGGCAGATCTACTCCCTGGTTCTTTAAGGGTCAAATGAACACACACAATTAACTGCACAATGGTGATTGTTAAGTTGTCAAACCTGAAAGTGGTTTGGTTCAGGTAATAACTTATGACCTGATTGGTTTGAGTGTCTATATTTGTGTTACACCCGGGGTAAACCTGCTGAAAGCTACCCTGGAGTGTATATTAATTTATCTCCAGTATTCTGTAAAGAATGAAAGCAATCACACACTAGCTGAGCTTGGTGTCGGGTCAATGTTCCACACTCCTCAAAGTCTGGAGATAGAATCACTATTTACGTTTATAATCATTTGAAACAGTAACCATTAGGAAACAACACATCTTAAACACTTAAGTAGACATTATGAAATTCCCTATAGGTTGTGCAGTTAGTCTCCCAAAATCTTAACATGCTGACTTGAGTCTTTAAGTTGAGTTAAAATACACCACATCTGCATGGCTAAGCATAGTAAAATCAGGGAAGTCGTTTTCAAAAAGACCAATGTCGAAGCCTGACCACTATAGAAGGGGAAAGATACAGCCACATCCTTCAATCTGCTCACCTAGTGCACCTTACCAGTAAAATAGATGGAACATACCTGTGAAGAGTGACAGCAATCAGACACTGGTTGAGCTTGGTGTAGGGTCAATGTTCCGAACTCCTCAAAGTGTAGAGATAGAATGGTCCCAGAACAAAGGCTCCCACACCAACCTTCCAGTGCCTGACAGACTTGAAAGTCTGTAGCTGTTTTCTGCTTAGAGAAAGCTTAACATAAAACAGTGGTTGTGTGGTCACAAAAAGTATGGGGGGGGTTGACAAAAAGGAAAATACCTTAGGCCATGACAAAAAGGAAGGGGGCTCCTCATCTTGCATGGGTCCTCTACACTCTCTCCAGGAAAATTTCATGTTTCTTCTCAACATTAACACAAGCCTCCAATAACAAGTGACCATTTAGTCCATACTAATAATTCAGCAAGTGTCCTCCCAGCACCACATGTTGCTGAACATGAGGAACCCAAAGTCTTTGCTTGTGAAGTGCCTTGCATGCCACTGAGGGCTGGGTCCACAGTTACCATGATTACATTTACATCCACTGGGGTTACAACAAGGTGTAGTCATTGGAGTAGCCCACGGCATCAAGTTTTGTGGCCACATGGCACAGGGGGCAGGTCCTGTCATCAGGGGATGAGGCCACGACATCATTGGGTATGGACAGGGTGGACCATTCCTCCAGTTAATGGTGTTGACCTCTCCTTGGTCCTGTTGTGACTCGCCTAACTGTTGATAGGTCAAATGCTGTGGGGGTTGTAGATGCCTCGTTGGGTAGCTGAGGTGCTCTGTGAATGCTGGGTCTGGACTCTCTCGAGCATCATGTGGCTTGCTGGTGTTCCTTAGTCCTGTTGCAACTGGTCCCAGTGTATTTAGTAGTCCAGCTGAGTTGATTGGTCTGGTCCATCCTGATGCAGCGGCTGGTTCCAGTGCATTGTCTGGACCCGGTATATCAGCTGGTTCCAGCACATACGCTGGTTCTGGTGCTTCAGCTGGTTCTGCTGCCTCGCGTGGTCCTGGTGCACTGGCTGGTCCCGGTGTGTCAGCTGGTTCTGGGGGGTCTGCTGGTGCAACGACACAAGCTGGGAGGCGGCCGTCCGCCGTAATGGGAGCACTGGCTAGAAGGGGGCCTCAGCTGGAAAGTGGGTGTCAGCTGGGCGGTGGGCATTGGCTGGAAAGTGGGCATCGGTTGGAAAGTGGGCACTGGCTAAAAAGGAGGCATCGGTATGACACTGTGCCACAAAGTGCCTGTCAGTTCCATCCGTTCTCCTCTGGTTTGCAGCTGGAATAGAATCTTTTGCCTCATGGTTGAGAGGTTTTGTGCACCATTGTCTCCTCGGGGCAGGGACTTGGGGCACTTCAAGGGAGGACTGCTGTTTTGGTGTACAGACGAAGTCCACATACTCTTCATCAGATCTACTGGAGTTGACCTCTTCTAGTTTAGTGCTCTGGGCAGCTTGTATCTGTGTCCGTGGAGCTGGTCGGGGTGGTGGTTTCTTTGGTGCTTTCTCTTCCCCCACAATAAAATGGTTGCATGGCAACAACAGGTTTCTATGGAAAGTTCTTCTCCTTCCCTTTCCATTCTCAGGAACCAATTCGTACAAAGGAGAGTTGTCACCCAGTCGTCTCACTATGGAATGGACTTCTTTTTCCCAGAGGGCTCGGAGCTTGCCTGGTCCTCCAAATTCATTGAGGTTCTGCACTAGGGCTATGTCACCAGGTTGGAGGACACTGCCGTGCAACTTTCGATCATGGTTGGATTAGGTGTATGACACATTCAGCCCCCAGGTGGCCCATCTCTTCGTGCAACTCTCTGTAAACCAGGCGGTGATACTTGCGAGGAAGAACAGTCTGGCACCTTCCGCCTGATCTACGTTGTAAGACTCCATCTTCATCTATGTTGAGCTTTTGCCAGTCACGAAGGAGAATAGTGGTGTCTGGGTGTCCCCTGATCCGGTCGAGTCTGCCCGGTTGCCATCTATTACTCGCATAATGGAGAACAGGACGAATAATGTCAACTGCTTCCTGAGCTGCCCTCAGCTCTGGCTTACTGACTTTCTCGATTGGAATCATCTCATCATCAGGGCCAGGTGGCACACCTGTGACTGCCATTACCCAGGGTTAGAAGACTGACCCTTTCACAGCGATAGCCTGGATTGCAGCACTGATGTGATCAGTGGTAAACTCGCTGGTACACTGCATCATGTACTCATCAATATCCAAAGGGAGTCAAGACAGCACATAAGCATCTGCATTGTTTTGTCTGGGGCGGTACTTTATCTTAAAGTTAAAATCTGTGAGTTCCGCCACCCACTGTACCCTATAGCATTGAGTTTGGCTGAGGTGAGGATGTAGGTGAGTGGGTTATTGTCTGTGCACACAGTGAAGCTGGGTGCATGGTACAAGTAATCGCGAAAGCGCACAGTATTTAACCCACTTCAAAGCCAAGAACTCAAGTTTGCCAGAGTGTAGGTGGTAGTTCTTTCCGGCAGGGCTCAAAGTTTGTGATCATAGCTAATAACCTCTTTCTTGCTACCGTGTTCTTGGTAGAGTACTGCTTCTAATCCTTCATGGGGGGCATCTGTATGAAGGATGAATGGCCTTTCATGGTTTGGCAAACCCGTCACTGAAGGGGACATCAGACAATCCAGCAGGTGCTCCAAGATAGCCTGACGTTTATCTAACCAGGTGATTGTCTGTCGTGATGAGACCTGTGAGGCTTGGTTTTTCTTTGTCATTGTCCTAGATGATTTCCTTGATTTCTCATTGCTCACTGAAGATAGATTGTCTCAGCCTGGCTTCTGTAGTAACTCGTAAAGTGTCTTGGTGATACGGGAAAAATTCTGAATGTACTGGTGGTAGTACCCCAACAGACCCAGCATCTTCCTTAACTCACCCACAGTACCTGGTTTCTTCTCACAGATTGACTCTACGGCTGCCACATCAGCTGGATCCACACTGTAGCCTTCACTCCAGACAAATATCCCAGGTAGTGGACCTCTTTCTGGAAAAAGCTGCATTTACTAGGTAAAGTAAGGTACTAGCCTTTCTCCTTCAACCGTTGCAAGACCCAACGAAGATGCTAGAGGTGACTTTCAAATGTATCGCCATAGACTAAGATGTCAACTGTGGAAAACCAGGAATTCCCACCAAGACTGTCAAGGACATCCTGGATTTGAAGGATTGGTTTCCTGTCCGGTACTGTCTTGCAGTTGAGTTCCCAGTAGTCGATACATAGCCGAAGTGACCAGTCCTTCTTTCTAACACACACTACTAGTGATAAATCTGGGGATTCAGACTTTGAGGCCCATCCTTGATTTATCAAATCTTGCAGGTCATCTTGGAGATGCATGTGCATATTCACAGGTCCTTAATGCATCCCAAATCGTTGTCATCTTTGACAAATGCTCCTGCCTCCTCCTTCAACATCTGGTTTACTAGAGAGCACTCCTATTCAGTAAGGTGGCTCAGATCAACTGGAGGGACCCATTCAGTGCTGCTGTCTGTACTCATGGCAGACCTGACTGTACTTCGGCTGGTGAGAGTTCTGTAGCTTGTTGATAGGGCAGGATCTCATCAACAGTGAACACAGTACCTAAGGGGTGCATTTTCTCAGAACAGCATCATCGTTGGCTATGAGAATGGAGACCTTGCAGGAGGAACTACCAAGCTTGATCACCAATGGCTGAGGCTGGAGTTTACCCGGGAAAGGTGTTGTCGGATCCAGCTCAAAGAGAACTACCGCGCCCCTTATGAAGTTGCCGGGGTGTGCAAGGTATGACACTTCTGTGACACTTCTCTTGGGGATTACAACATCACTCCTTCCCACTGACACACTGCAGACTGTGCAACTCCTCCTGAATGAGGTAGACAGTTCCCGCTTTGCCATTGATGGGAACACTGCTGCAACAGCTTGCACTGGATTTGAATGGAGAAGAGTCATTTTCACAAACTCTTCGATCACACTGTAGCCAATGATGGGGACACTGGTGGTTACTTGGGTGACTAACACCAGTGCTCTAATTGGTGGGTTGTGGTCTGCTAATTTGAAGGCGACTTCAAGCCATCCGTCAAAGGAATGAGCCATTTGTTGCAGTGAGGTTGTCTGTTGCAAGGAGTTCTGACAGGGGCTGTATCCGCAAGTATGGACTGTTGGCCATCTTCCAGTCATTGAGGATGATTGACACTTGGGCTCTGGTATCCCACAATGCCCTTGTCTTTATTCCTTCAATCCAGCAATTCACTAGACATCTCTCGCCCATAAATTGAGTGTTTTTTTGTCTGTTTTGACGCCGACATGCAACAAACATGGGACTTCACCACTATTGGATGAATGGTTACTGATCGTCCCGCTGCGGTAACCACTGATCGTTTCCCGACTGTTGACCCCTAGACTGGCAACATCCCTGAGCAAAACGCTGCCTGTAGCCACACCAGTAACAGTGATCACACAGGTCCCCGTTTTCCCGTTGCTGGCAGTCGGGACAGCCTCTTTCTTGTCTGGTTGTTTTGCAATTGTTGGTGATTGCTTGGCTGTCCCTGGTCCTGCTCCCGTTGATGGGCTCGGGACTGACATGGGTGAAGGGCATCCTGCAGTGTTGTAAGCCGTCTCTTGAGGTCAGCAATCTCAGCAATGCCGGCCGTTACTTCAGCAAGGTCTGTCATCAGAGTCCCTGGCTTGGGTTTCCTCTTGTCCGCTTTGTCCAATGGGCTTTATTCCACAACTTCGATGGAGATGGGTTTTGGCTGGGCTAACTTCTCTCGGCGTTCAGCCTCATTACTTGCTGCTGTGTTCAGCTTCTCAAGGATGATTTCATCTGTGGTCATGGGGTCTAAAAGAAAGGGCCGCATCTCAGTCCTCACTGTATCATTTCTCAGGCCTGTTAATGCAGCATGTTGAAACATGCTCTGAACCAGGGGCAAGTCGTATTTCAGGCCAGACCAATTCTCCTGGCTCACAAAGGCGACCCTCTTCCGTAGGTCAAAAGCTTGCACCAAGAAACTCGGCGCTGCTTCTTTGTGATCTTGGGCTAGATGCAAGAGTTGGTGGTAGAGCTCGGTAGCATCTTTTTCTTGGTAGTGTGACCGAAGTAGGTGCCAGAGGCTCGGTAGTGTCAGCTTGGTCCTCCCTTCAAGGTAGCTGCGGAGGGCAGATCCGGGTATGGCAGCACAGATCACAGCCTCAACAATTTCCAGCTTGCTGTGACCCTTGACATGGCCACTCTTAATCTGGTGTTCCAGGCATGAAAACAATAAACGGTCTCGCTGACCGGGCTCGCCAATCTGACCCGATATTTTTAATTCTCGCTGAGTAAGGGCCATCAATCCGGGTTTTATGTCAGGGTGGGGCGTGGCAATGGGCGTTGGGCGCGGCCTTTGCGGTCATCAGTGCTTGTGGTTTGTCTGGCGTCACCTCTGTCAAATGCTGAAGAAAAGCCTGAATATCAAAATAGGTTGCTGTTCCCTCATCCTCTTGTTCCTCTAGCTCTTCCCTCAGAAGATGACAATGTACTTTGTGGACGAGGGACTTTGCACTGTTATCCCTCTCTGCCACATCTTGAAAACCTGGCAAGCCCAGGTGATGGCAAATTCAAAGTAGTGGGGCCTGTGAGAGCAAACCTGCTGCAGTTATGCTGCCACGGCTCTTGCGGTGTCTTCTCCATCTTGATGGGCCAATAGTATGCACGCTCGGTTTGAACTCACTAAGTTGGTCCCCTCCTTCAATACCCCTGCCCTCGGCTATGGCTACTCACCTCACTCAGCTGTTGCCCGCCTCACATCAAACCACACGGGTCCACTACATTGTCAGACAAGTGAATGTCATTGGTTCCACTCTCACTACCATCTCTGCTTCTATCTACTTGCCAACAAGTGCTGTAACAATAAAGAAAAAGATAACTGGACTGGAGAAATAGAAAGGCCTCATTTTTGTCAATTAATATGACGATTCCAAAGCGATTTTCATAATTAAAACAAACACAATACATGTATATAACCCCAAATGTTCAGGGTTGTTTGGCTAGAAACCCTGCCAGACACATCAGTCTGCATCATTTGTCAAAGTAATTTTCTGGCCCAGTGCAACAAGATCCTACAGGTCAACTATCTCCAAGGCCAAACAGCCAGGGAGTCTGTGGTTGCCAGCCACCACAAGAGCCAACAGTGGCATTGTTGAGACCAGCTCCCATTGTCTCAACCAGTTTGTTGGGCTGCTGTTGATTGCCCAGTGCATCAAAAGGCATGTTCCCATTGGACTTTTTTTGTTAACTTACTGCGACTTTCCTGTAAAATTAAAAAATTTAATCCAATGGGAACATACGGTAAACTAACGTTCCTGTCAACTCGCCACGATTGCGATATAAAACTAACAGGCCAAAAAGGGTCGTGGAAGATTTCCACGCAGCCATGGTAAGTTAGCAGGGGCGCAAAAAGTCCAATGGGAACAGTTCCCATACAATGTAGATTGACTGCGACCATGCTAAACACACGAACCAGACTACTGCCTACACAGACAAAATGGTTGTATGGTTCCCAGCCTCCTGCTCTATGCATACAGTACAATACAGCAGCATGCCGCGCACACACAGTGAGGCATGCCCAGATAATCAGCTGGTCTCATTAGGCCTAACACAGCGAATAAACATTCTGCTACAATTAAAAAAGTCCATGTGGAAATGAATGGTAGATTGACATGACGGAATGTCACGGTAAGTTTCTGTGTACCCGTGGAAGAAAAAGCCCAACGGGAACACGGCTATCGTACATCAGACTTTTACATCTGCTGCAGATTGTTGCATCTGGCGAGTTTTGGGTCAAGGTCAGTGTTTGCAAAGTGATGCATGCAGTTTTTACCATTTTTTAAAAACTCCTCTTCTAAAGGTTGCAGACTGCTGGCCCTCTTTGATTCCACAATCTGACCGTTTTGCTTGGACCTTTATCAATGTTCCAAGAGCAGATATTATGACACTAAGGGGCTTGATCTGTGAAATCAAAACAATCGTAAAATGATTTAACTAATTCACCATTTATAATTAAAAAACTTTCTTTTTGCAAGACAAATATTAATTTCCACGTTGCTATTTTTAAGGAGCTGCCAAAAATTGTTGTGGATTTCATCAGTAAATGTGGGGGAAAATTACACCCCAAGACAGGTTTACCGTCGGTCATGTTCTCAGCCAGAAAATATTTGTCATCATGTCTACAAAGTGTATAACATCCGGCACTGAGCAGTCTCTTTAGTTTTTAATTTAGCTCTCACAGAAATTAACAAAGAACCTTATATTTTCTTTGATGGCTGCACCAAGTGGCAACTTCAAGTTTATATTAAATAAGGAAAGATTTTCAGCTGAAGCAGATACATTATTCAATTTATGCCTGATCTTCCTGACCCTATCGGGAAGGGGAAAGGTTATCTCCCCCCTCCTACACACACAGTGACATAATTTCTTCCATCACAGCCCCCTTCCCCCTTCAAAAACTTCTGCCCCTCTTTTTTTCCTTCATGGGTGGAGGGTGAAGCCACCTCAGCTGCTTAATTGCGATCAAATCAGAAGGGTTAGCAGGTGTCAATTACATGTACGTGTGCATGAGCATGATGTCATATCCAGACTTACATGTATCCATCATTCAGTTATCTCTTACCTGATTGGCACGTGTGTATGCAGCATCAAAGTGTGCCAATCCAATGCAGGTGTATAGGGTGCATTCGATTACATGGCAGGCCTGGGAAAAAAAGCAAGCTATCACAGTAAGAGAAACTCAAACTAACTGAAGAATCATCAACGGCAAAGTAGCAGGGAATCGAATCAATAGGGACTCACACACCAATGCTACATGTAAGTATCAAAACCCCAAAAACTGATCAACCCTTAAAAAAATGACCAAACTGAAAAATTAAATAAGACTTGAAAACCATGAACTAAAGTTTAACCAAAAAAAGAGCTGGGGTGGGCTGTGGAATCACAGATCAGCCAAAACTTTTTATTTCTCCACTGCCGTGATCAATGTACATGTAGGCGGGCCGGCACATGCAGTGTGTGAAGTCTTGAACTTCAAATGACCATCATAACAAAACAATATTTATTACAAAATGAAGCATAGGATGGCTGAGTCACAGTGCCAGCTGTGACAAGTCACATGGTCCAAAATAACCCGGCTTTTTTTAGCATTCACCAGCACAGTGTGTCAGAACTTATAAGAATACATGTACATGTACACTCAGACTTTAATCACCGACTCTAGCAGACAGGACTCAAGCAGAAAACCACACTCCAGTTACGCGGAACAATACATGACGTGAACATGTAAGTTGATCTCTGCTGATATCTGCTTCACTGAGTATCATGGTCACACTACATGTATGAGGCCAAATTAAATACAAGGAATTTGCAAAAGTTTTAAGACCACCTGGAATTTTGTTGGTATTTCTGTCACTGGGCCTGCATTACATTGTCTCATTGAATGGTTCATAACATCACTGTATTACTGCTATCTGTATACCCATTTGAAAGAATTTTTTTTGCAAAGGCAGGTCTTGTATGATATTTTGTCTGTAAGACACGTGGGTAAAAAAAAGGTAATCAGAAAAAAGGAGGGCACACTAGAAAATTAGATTGTTAACATTTCAAATAGCTGTTTGACCAAGATACGAAGGTTACACACTGAAAACAAACATAAGTTGCCATGATTGGTTGGTTTGAGTTTGGTTTTTCTTCAGGTTGGTGCACTTTGTATGAGTGGTCCTAAACTTGTGCAATGACTGTACTGGTATACTACACACTTTTACAGGCACAAAAGCCTAAGGGAAGCTACTCTGATGTTAAAAATAGATTCATTCGAACACATGAATGTGTGTGGTGTACAGTAATTAACGTTCTCAGAGATCACCACAACTGCTGATGTCTGGAGCTGTACATGTTCACTGTCAGTGAAGATCTTGAGCAAATCATAGTTGTAACAAAATTATGCTATCAAGATGACAAATAATGCACCAACAGGCATGATGGTCAGGAATTCACCATTTGGGCAAATTGAACATGATAATCTGCTGGGTGAATTAATCAAAAAGGCAACTGAGAAATACCTGTATGTGGTTGATACAGCTCATGGCCGGGGAGCTTTATCCCAATGTTTAAGCCTTCCTCCTTTTGTTTCTAGTTTAGGAGTAGGGCCACGTATAGGGAGGTATAGTCCACTAGCCTGGCTCTAATGAAGTGGAGTCTCGATGTTTCCTCGATGTTTCCTTGACTTTCCTCATGCATCACTGCCAAACCTCTTTGCTGAAAAGCTTTGAATTCATTCAGTTACAGTAAATAATGATATTATAACTTCAAAATACATGCTACTGATCACCTCTGTTAACAATTTTGGTGTCATGAAATTTCAAAATCTGAAATTCAAAAGCGACAGCCTTTAGAAATTGGCACAAATTCAGCAAACTGTTCCCTATTTGTGATACACTTGAACAAATCTCTGAAAATCCCACATCCCACATAAGATGTTCTTCAAAGTTGATACATGTAACTTCTCATTTTACCCCTAGATATACATGCATGTACACACTTATTTTCAGAAAAGTAGGCGTAACGTTAGTTTCTTCACCATGGGTACATTTTCAAAGTGTTCATTTTGCACTTCAAAAAAAATTAAAAATGGAAATCAGGTCAATAGACCTACGTGTACATACAGTACATGATTGATGTGATTGCAAAGGGTTTGGAACTCAGTACAATACACAGTGACAGTAGCAAGTGTGTGAACTCGGCATTTTGTCATGTATGATGCAGGCCTACGTAGGCCTACATGATCATGGATGTAGGCCTATTGAAAGGTAGACCCATAAAAAGGGTCCTCCGTCATATACTGGGCTCTGTCCCAATTCATAGGGATTTCTTTCGAAAAACTTTATTTGGGATATCCAGGGGCATAACCAAACATCCGCTTGATTTTATGAGCTGAAATTGCACCGGTATGTACTTACAGGGTAAACCATGTAGGTTGCTAATTGCAGAAAACTTGCCTTTTCCTCGTTTGGAGGAAAACATGTTGCCTTGTTGTTGCCGCTTTCCCACTTCAGTTGAATTTTGCCCACTTGCACAACGCTGACAGCTGTTTCGTCACTTTCGTGTCACGTCACAGAGTGCGCGCCACACTACCAATGATTGGCTGTAAGCAGCATGTGACTAGACAAGGAACCAGCCAAGGGCATTGCATATTAGCTGCACATGTCAGTATAGGACTATATGTGAATATAGTGTACATGCAATGTTAGAATTCTGGAAATACTTATATGTCAAAGTTTGACAGTCCAGCAAGATTTTCAGTCATGCTGCAGCCATGTGCCTGCCTTCCAGAGTTGACAAGGCCAAGTTGACCTGAGACGGAGTTGACTCGGAGTGAGTTGATTCCAGACCAAGTTGGCGACTTCACACCGACTCTGATGAGTATACAGTGTGTGTACATTAATTGCCATGTTTCCCTGGACCATATCCGAATCTTTAAAAAGGCAATTCGTCGAGTCTAAGTTGCTCAGCCTATCAATATTATGGACTGATCATCATCCTGATGCAGTCACGTCAAATGTCATTTCAAAAATTCCAATGTGCACAGCATGCCGAAGTGAGGCGGGCAAGTAGTAAGAAAACTTTATTTTTTACCTTGTTGGGCTTATATGGGATGGCCTAGAAAGTAGAAAGTATTACAGCTGCATGTCAGCACATCATGTCATCACACTGTACCGAACGACTTGCTTGGGAAGGATAAACAATTTGCAAGGTGTGTGCAAAATCTATGCATAGGCCTATACTATATAGGCCTATTGACTACTGTAGTATAACTTTAAAGTTACTCATGTCAGGAGCCAGAAATGGGCCATGTAGCCTACATGTAATGTATTGTAGGCATGCCTAACTTTGGTCACAGTTGATTGATCCTAGGATTAGGACCATGAATTTTAAGTGTGGAATAATAAAAGCAAAACACACTGTAGGCCTACTTACTCCGTGTCAGGGAGGTGTGCCAGTGATACGTGTTGTCTGCCTCCTACAAAGTCGCGAAAATAAACGGATTAAAGCGACCGCCATGTGCTCACGGACAGCAAAACAAGAAAAGCCAAAGGGCGCCCTCTCGCGTTTTCAGAGAGTAATGCTTTTTAGCGTTCACGCGACAAAAGAATCAAAAGTGCTCAAAATGGTGATTTCCAAGATTTTCTGCAAAAATCATATCTGCAAGGGTTAGCCTTGCCATTTCAATTCAAATCACTCAAAGTGATGATTTCAAAGATTTTCTTCCAATTTAACATTAGCAAGGAATTAGCCTTGCCATTTTAATTAAAAGCAATCGAAATTATGATTTCCAAGATTTTCTTCAAAAGTAATATTTGCAAGGGGTTAGCTTGGCCATTTCAATTCAAATCACTCAAAGTGATGATTTCAAAGATTTTCTTCCAATTTGATATTTTTGAGGAATTAGCCTTGCCATTTAAATTGAAAGCAATTGAAATAATGATTTCCAAATTTTTCTTCAAAAGTAATATTTGAAAGGGGTTAGCATTGTCATTTCAATAAAAATCACTCAAAATGAAAATTTCTGAGATTTTCTACAAAAACAATATTGGAAAGGGGTTAGCCTTGCCGTTTAATTTAAACTAAGCAAAATTACTCTTTCACTTTGCAGTAAGTAATATTTGCAAGCCCTTGGCATTGAAATTAAAATTCCATTTAAATTAAAACGCTTAAGGGAAGCCTTGACATTTTTTCGGAATTAATCTGTGATAGGACTTTTAAGCTTTTCAGTTCATGGAGCAACACACAGACGGGAAGAAATTTTGCATCACAGAATGTATTTTATTTTGACTTTTTGCATATTTCACGATGAACTGCATACAATAAATAAAAACCATACAAGTGGTGCTCTTGGCAACAGTACACCTACAAAATCTGGCTTGAGTTGAAGGCTTCAACTTGAATGAGACTGCAAGAGCAAAAAGGTCACCTCTAAACAGAGCAGAATCCCATAGTCAGTGCCAATATGTAAGAGACTATTATAACAAAATGTAGCCTTAAAGAGGGAATTTCTGAGGATCCAAATGTTAAAGATTTCCTACAAATTGAATATTTGCGAGGGGTTAGCCTTGCCATTTCAATTAAAATCACTAAAAATGATGGTTTTTGCAAAAATTATACTTGCAAACGGGTCATCTCTAAACAGAGCAGAATCCCATACTAAGTACCAACATAAAGGGGCTATTAGAACAAAATACGAATTCTAAGATCCCAATGATTTTAAGTGCTTTCGGAACAAGTTTCTGGTTATAACGAGGTAATCCAGTTGGTCTCACCAAATTCTGTTGCAATGAAAGCTGACTGTGTAGCGAGGCCCCCCTGAAAAAGCAACATGACATCACAGGACAGAAACTTTCAAAAACTGACCTCTCTAGCACAAAACTCAAAGACTCCATTGCGTTAAACTGATGCATGAGCGATGAAAAGGGAATGGTTTTTGTCGCTGATAATTTAATAACTTTCAATTTGACTAGAGACTAAAGTGAACTGTATTCATTCGACCTGTGATGGACTTCACGGGTTGAGTCCTTTTACAGTAAAAATGCACAGTCCTTGAGCTGAACTGGGAAAAACAGACGGACTTGAGGCTTCTGGTGCATTGGTGCAAACGTAATTAGCTCTCGCCGACGGGATGCACAAAGAGATCACGAATGTTGGCAATGTTTGCATGAGTGGAATATTGAGTAGTCTCCGTGGTAGACTCCCCCACCCTACTTCCCTTGAGCTTTCAAGTCAGGGGTTTGTTCTGAGAGTACTAGTTACAAATGAAGAAACTCATATGGGTAGAGATCTTGATATATGCCATGACAATAATTCTAGCGAATTCATGATGATGCATGCTCAAACAAGGACAGCTCAGTAGTTAGTCATGGTGGAGCGGTGCAACGATGAAGTTCACCATCAGTTATCTTCTATATCCCCATGACCTTTCGACAGCAAGACCTTGTAGACTCAACCAAAAAATTCCTCATCACTACTTTCCCCTAGAACACAAATGATGGATGTCTGGGACTAAGTGCAGTTGAGAAGTAGGTCTGGGGTCTTCCCAACAGCTGAACCGGCCCTCTTGATCGTGTCGCTCACTTTACGCTCCAGACGGTAACCGGCATCCCACCCCTGAAAAGAAGTCCACAAGGATCCAGTTAACAAAACACTTGTCAAAAGCAGACGAGGTTTCATTGGAACCAATAGAAAATAGATAATTTCAAACTCTTTTTAGATGTGTATGGCAGTAATGCAACAGAAACAGGAAAACTGAAGTTCGTCACTACAAAATCTGTGTACAGATTATGTTTTTGTGTGATGTCAGGTTACTTGCTGATGTGCTCATTACTGACATGTGATACAAATGTAAATGAACAAATACACCACTAGCTATGCCTACCCTTTGTTAAAAAAAAGATTGAAGGTGTAATAGGTTTTGAGGAGTGATAGGCAAAACAGGTGTGGAGTAATATGAGCAAAATATAGGGGAAATCAGGCATTCGTATTACTGCAAGAAGAGTCCACAACCTTTTTGTGGAAAAGCTTCAAGTTCTTACCCTGTGTGACAACTGCTTGTTTTCGATGGATTCATTTGTGACAGGTTGTTCACGATTGCCCCTGCTGGCCTGTACGTTAAAGACATGTTCTGGAGCCATGCCGCTGGGTAAGACTGGTGGTGGTGTGGAGTTGATGGCAAGGGAACCTGGATTGTAAATTTTTTTAAGGGATCAAAAATGGATTTCTTATAGAAAGAATATTCAGCACGAATAGGACTGAATTGAGCAACTGCACTCAAGCAACAGCCCCAAATTATCACAAGACTTTTAAAAGACCAGACACCAATAACGGGATAAGCAGTGACTAAGGAACAGAATACCTTTGTTGCAGTTCATTTGAATAGCCTCTGACTTGAATACAGACTAGAGGTCTTGTGATGGTCTTGAGGGGTCTAGTGATAGTCTTTTGATGGTCTTAAGATGGTCATTTCAGGTCTTCTGATCTTATGGTGGTTTTGTTTTGGTCTTGTGAGGTCTTGTGATGGTCTTTTGGGGTCTTGGGATCGTTGTTTAAGGTCTTGTAATGGTCATTTGAGGATCTTGTGGTGGTCTTTTGGAGTGATTGTTTTTCTGGTCTTTTATCTTGTGATGGTCTTGTGTTAGTTTTGTGATGTCTTAAATGTGAGATCTTGTAATGGTTTTGGGGGGTCTTGTAATGATCATTTTGGTTCTTTTGATCTTGTGATGGTCTCGTAATGGTCTTGTGATGGTTTTGTGTTGGTCTTGTAAGGCCTTATGATAGTCTTGTGGGGTCTTGTGATGGTCTTATGGGGTCAAATAATGGTTTTGTGGGGCATTGTGATAGTCTTGAGATGTCTGAGGTCTTGTGGTGGTCTGGGGTCTTGTGATAGTTTTAAGAGGTCTCAACTACAACACTGTAATGAAACACCCCCTCACCTCTCACTAACTGTACCCTCTGTCCAAGTTGTAGGGCCACAGTGCCCTTGTCATTCTGGTCATGCCCACGGGGAGGCCCTTCACCACGGACGTTCTGCTGCTGCTGTTGCTGCTGAATGTCCTTTGTCCTGTTGGGATGGGCTGGGGTCTGACTCGGTTTGTTGCCCTTGGTCCGATTTGCCTGCACCACTGCCCCGACGGCTTGACTCTGCTGCTAGAGGTGCAAGCGATTGAATGCCAAATGAATCGAAGCCTGGAGCCTTCCACTGCCAGTCTATCTTCTCATTTGTGATTGGGTTGAATGGATCTTGATATCCCGAGTCATTCAGATGTTACTCTCCGTGACATTCATATCCAATTTCTCCCTATTCATATAATCTAGTAATGCATCATTTTCTGAACAGCATCCAGTATCCAAGTATCTTGACTTTTGACTGCATTCCCTTCATGCATGCACAGATAATCCTGCGTGTACAGTATTCTCAGAATATTCTCATGCAGGCCAACTGAATTTGCTTAGACTAGATTTAGTTCAGCTCTTAGAAGTGCCCACTACCAACAATATATCCCAGTTACATTGTCACACTGGGATACTTGTGTTCGCATTCACGGAACATTATCGAAATCCAGTTATGGGCCAAGACTAGCACCCAATTAGCCTTAGCTCATTTTGATGACATCCATCACAACTCCATCTGAAGTCACCCACTTGCCAGCTGTTAAGATCTTTGCGGGCCAAGTTCTTTGGACACTGCGACCATGATTCCCCCTAGTTATTTTTACCTTTTTCTTCTCGGCCTTCAGTGAGTCCTCGAACTTGGTGGAGGCCTCTTGCAGCAGGCTGAACATGTGTTGCTGATTCAGGTCGACCACTCTGTCATGACTGCTGAGAGGATGGGTGTGGCTTCTCTGGTGTTGACCTGTTACGTGCAACGAATATTGATGAGTGTAACTGTAAGAAAAGTCTAACGAGGTGGCAGAAGGATGGAACGTTTAATCTGTCCCCTGTCACTTCATCTGTCAAACATTAATTCATTCATTCATGCTTGAACTTCACGTCTGTCTTTGTTTACTTCCTATAAAGTCTTTACATTACTTGAACAAATTCTGAGTACTTCAAAGCTAAATCAAGAACTGCCAAAGACTGAGACCGAAGTAAACGATTGAAAACAGTCAAGACTAGCTGACAGAGATGGACTGAGGAGCAATCATTAGCAAGCCCGGCTGCCTGGTCCTCGAAACCCTACCTTTGTGTCTGTCCATAATGTATTGGTCTTTGTAAGCTTGCACCGTGCACGATTTATGCATCTCAGATGAGGGCACCCTTCTGCCATTGGCTCCTGATTGTATGCTTTTTCTCTGCAGACTCTGGCATCGTTCGGTGCATCGTGGCGTCCCAATTTTAGCGGACTTCACTCTACACGGGGGAGAGAAATCACTGATAAATTTCTAACATCTCCAAAAAATGGATAAACATCATAGAAAAAAAAACACCCTCTCCAAACTGTAGCAGCTGATTTCAAGTCATAATCAAGACTAAGAGAAGTAATTTAGAAATATTAATACAGCATCTTGGCATGATGGAGGTTGTTGGTTGATACCTGATATTTCCACTGGGCAGAGTCTGGTGGACGTTATCCCGGCTCATCATCTCCTGCAATTTCTGCATGGTGTTGATTCCTCTTGCCATCTCTGCACTTTCTCTGACCGCTGCTCCCCGATCTTCAGTCCATGCTCTGGACTTACCGGAGCTGGATCTTTTCCAGTCCAAACGCTGCGGCATGGCATTCCTCCTGACGCCTCCCTTTGGAGTTCCTGACGACCTGGTGTCCTCCCCTTGCTGTGCCTGGGCTCTGGCAGGGCACTGATGACCACCACCCTCCATGGATTGGAGGGTAGCTATTGGGGTACAGAGCCGGGCTCGCAGGGAGTTGCTGTCGGATCTGGACACAGAGTGGCTGAATTGGGCCACTGGTCCTTGCCCAGAATTTTCTTTAGGGTTTCGGCTGGATCTCTTCAGTTGTTGGGGGTGACGGGCATGCCAAGCTCTCTTGGTCAAGAGCAGTGTCTTCTGCAGGCTCGGGTTGGCCATGTGGGGACAGAAGTGGGCGTTCACGGGTCGAGTGGGCATCCGCATCTGTTGCCGTAGCAGCTCATTCCTCTGGGCAGCAGTCTTTGCGGGGCTGCTTGTCCGACTGCTCTCAGCCGAATGCATGTCTTGCCGGGAGGTTTCAGAGATGATTTGGTCCTGGTTAGCACTGCAGAGTGTCACAGATGGACGGTGGTGGCCCTCTGACTCATCTTCCGATGGATCTTGACCATTTACCGAGTTGCCATCTGAGATTATCGTCTCTTTTATAATGTACCCATGTTTATAGTTGAAATACTTGGCCATGTCGATGACCTTGACATCATGAGCACCCTCTGCATTGGTTTTGATTTGGGAGACTTGTTCGTCAGTTGAGAGGAGGGTTTCTCCCAAATCGACATTTATCTTTCTACCCAACTGCTTGGTGTGCTGCTGAGAACAGCTACTCCCAGGGGCTGGTCCATCCCCCTCTGAATGAGGTTGGTGATTAGTGGCTAAATCACACTGGACATCCTTATCCCTCGAAGCGGACTTTAAATTTCTGGGTGGCTGACCGTTGCCATAACGTTGCCTGGTCTTGGACTTCATCGGTTTATCATTACAGCCGCACGAGCGCAGCACTGCATTGTTTGCGGGTGATGAAGCAGGAGAGCTATTGACCTTTGATTGCTGGGCCGAGGACGGAGGGCCAAAATTGTAGTACCTTGCCATCAAACTGTTGGCTGTTGTTGCATTGCCAAAAGGACGGGTCTGGGGAAATCATTTTGTTTGAACTAAAAACTTGTGACAGTGAAACTTTGTGATAGGACGTGCTCAGCTGTTAGTGTTCTGAATTACATATGAGTTAGTGGCAATAAAAGTCAAGATTTTTCTTTATGTGGGGGCTGCTGTAGGCAAGGTGGCCAAGGACAACTTTGTTACTTGGTAAAAAGCCCATGCCCTACTAAATATGGCCTGTTCAAACCAACTGATTGTTGAAATGGATTTAATTGGAATGAATTGAGTCCAACTGGCAGCCAACTGGTGTTCAATTGGTTTCAGTTGGTATGTCTTCTCTCCCATTTGTTTGCCCCCATCAACTGGAGATTTCAAATGGGATACGATTGCTTTCAACTGGCATTTTTTTCTCTGCTGTTTATTTTCCCCAATCAATTGTCATCACAATGGTTCCAATGGGTATGCTTTCTCTCTGTTTGTTTTCCTCTATCAATTGGAAATTTCAAATGGGACTCAACTGGTTCCAATTGGTTTGCTTTCAGCTTGTTTCCCCCATCAAATGGATTTTTCAAATGGGACTCAATTGGCATTGAAATGGTTTCAATTGGTTCTTCGGTTGGTTACAATTGGATTGTGAATTGACATTCAAATGGTGTCAATTGGTTTGAAATGGTCCAACTGAGAAAAGGTCCAATTTTACTATTGATCCCAATTGGATTCTAATTGATTCCAAGCAAAAGCAATTGGTTTTTGAATTGGTTATTGAATTGGATCCAATGGGTAAGTGAATTGCATCCAATGGGTAAGTGAATTGGTCTCAATAGGTAAATGAATTGGACATTTTCAGTAAGGTGGGTAAAGAGTTTACAATAGTGACATCATCGCATGTTTTTTAATGCAAGACATTTCAATAAATGAGAACTAATGTTGTCACCTTGGTTCCAGTCTGGGGGAATGTTGCTGTCTTAGCTCGGCTGCAATAAAACATAAATAAACAACAGTAATGATAATTAGATTATAGTCAAAATATTAATGACAGAATATGTTCATGGGCTAGAAATGGGATGCAACACCCCCGCAACAATTAACCCTTTACAAGTTGTCACTACGGACCCAGTATTCACCGTGGGACATCAGGGTCACAAAAATGTGGAATAAAGTTTTTGGTTGGTGATTTGAAAGAGACAGTTCAGTCTTAGATCCTCACACGGATGATGTCCTTTGCACATGCTTTTATGTTGGTGGTGTACTACACATAACTACCCATCGGGGTTCACAGGTATGTTCCAAAGTGAAAATCTGGTCCCTGTTAGTACAAGCTTTACTAACTCATAAGCATCAAAGAACGAGCCATTTTCATTACTTTTGCCTTGGTCTCTCATCAGTTGAAACAGCCGACAGCTCAAAATCTGCTGACAAACATGTTCGTCTGCAGAGGAAACAAGGAAAAGGCTCTTTATAAGATTCCTGCATCACAGTGACACATAAATTGCAGTTGACGCACTGAACTACCAGCTGTGGGATTTTCCCTTTCTCCAAAACTCTCCAGACTCTTGTACTCTTGTCTTGTATGGAAACAGATGACTCGTGTCATAGGATTGGTCCTATCAAAAGTGCTACAACAATATCAGAAGTAACAGTATATTAAATAGACCTAAAACAAAATGATGTTACGCTCTTTCCTATTTGTTCGTGTCCCACTTCACTGCCATAGGAAGGCACACATATTAACAAAGCGTAACATCATCACGTTAGAGGTCAATTGAGATTTGTTTAAGGTGCACAGCAATGGGTAAGTAACTACTCCATATGAACAGTTCCACTGTGCTGAACAACTCTTGGAAAATCATCATACTCCTCAATGAACGATGGTCTGTTGCAAAAAAAAAATGCAGTGATACTTTGAATCCTTTCCCCCCCCCTTTGGGTCACCCTTATCTTTTTGTATGCTTCATGCCCACCGTCCTACCTGTCAGGATTTTGTTGACTGGGTCTAACCATTCCAATGACAGTGGGTGTTTTCAGTTTGATGTGCTCCACTACTGGAGAAAACGAAAAAAAGAAAATGAATGGATATCAGGCCATCTTACGCGGAAATTCTATGACATTTTGGTGACTTAATGTTTACGGTACATCAACATCTGAGTAACAATGGCAGGCTCTCACTCTATTGGTTTTTGGGTTTAACATTTGTCTGATTTATTATTTATTTATGTTATTTATTATTCACTTATTTATCCTGGGGAAACCTCTCAGGGAAACACTGATTTCCAGAGGTGTCCAGCAATTACAATAAATTCAGTTAAGCCCATCAAATATTATAAAATACCAAATATCTAGAAAATAAACCGTACTACTTAAGAAACCAAAGATTAAAATCCATGTACCAGCCATGCACACATATTAGGAAACTCAATAATAACTAATAATGAAAACACCGATAACAAATAACCAACCTCACAAACAGGCATTAAAACTAAAGATCTGTAGGTGTGTTTAAAACTTGACCGTGTTACAGGTAGTGGGCTCTTAAGAGCAGTGGGCAACGTGTTGAATGCATAAGTTCCTCGAACAATGAATCTGCTTTACCTGAGTTTGATTTACTGAATGGAATGATTAAGGAACTATGAGAGCCTGACCGAGTATTACAATGATGTGAATCAGTGGTATGAATGAAAAAGGTCACTTGTCTTTACACCATTTAATGATCTTATTGTGTAAGAGTATCGGGCTATGAGGGAAATTGGGACAGGGGAGGGTTAAAAGCCTTGGACTGTTACCATTGCAAAATAAGTTTAACCGACTGTAATAAGACTTGTTTTTCTCGTCATTAATTACTCATTAATTTTTCATTTACACTATATGTCAATGTACATTTACATATTTGTTATATTGTCCATGATGTGTCAACTATTGTCAATGTCAGCATGAATAAATAAATAAAAGACTTATCGACTATTCTCTCTATAATTTTCTACGCTCTCTCGTAAATGCCAACTTCCTTTGGCAGCACTGATTTACCTGGGTTCTCCTCTCCTGGTGGTCCTTGCGGCGGCGGGGGTGTGTTCGGCTTGGGAACCACCACCTCCACTGGCTTGGGCCGTTTGACCTCCCTCTTCAGGGTGTGGTCCACATCCCAGAATCCTTTGCTCTGCCGGTGCTGGTCTAGCATGAGGTTATAGATTGCACTGACGTCGTCCAGCCGGTACTCGTGGACGTTAGCCTCGATCTTGGCTGCGCTTACGTTTAGCAAGCAGGCCATCCTATCAATGATCTACAACAAAGAGCGGGCACATGAGTAAGGGTTCCATACACAGACACCAAAAGGCCATGTTTTCACACTGCCATGCCGTCCCACTGGTTGACAAACCACTCTTGGGCACTCGATCAAGTTTGAGAGTACGGAGCACGCATAACCAATTTTCATTTGAATGTACAGTCTTTGCATGGACACCGGTCATCCAGGCTAAAATGATCGACCCAGCCTCTCTTTTTTATCAGCGAGGGGGTGCCTATGCACAAAGCACACACCCCTGTATTCTAACTGCATTCTCGCAGCCTACGGGATAAAAATTAACACAGGCTGACTGGGGTATTAAAGACAGGGGTCAAGCCCAAGACATTTAACTCATGCACCTCTGATCCACCAATCAGTTTTCCCACGCTAACGACCACACTAAATCCAAACCTGCTGTGTATTAACCCTAATACTAATAGGGTGCATCCAGTGGCTTAACTGGGGTACAGAGTTAAATTCGGTCGTTCTCGTGGATTCAAAAGAAAACACAAACCAAGCTGAACTGCCACCAGATTTGTTCTCATGGAGTCAAAGGGAAAACACCAACCAAGGTGGACTGTCACCAGAGTTTTTCCTTCTCTAATTCTGAGTGCGGGATGAAGCCCACTTCCCCCTCACTTATGCCACTGGGCACATCTCATCAGGAACATGTCTAACTCCTGTAAAATCGAACGACTTTACAGTGGATTAATGCTCCCTTCTTTGGACCATGGAAGAAGGATCAAGACTGGGGCACCAAGCCCCCTTAGGGAGCCATTAAGGCTTTGACCACACAATTCCCCCATCTAACAGAATCTTTCAAACAGGTATGAATTGACAGCATCCTTAGAATACACCTGTCCATCTGAAATAACGTACCAACCTCACTCTACCCAAATGACTTCACTGGGCCAAGGAAAAACTAGAAAAAAAAAGACAAGAAAAAAATATAGGAAAGGATGACGCAGAAAAATCTGCAGTTTTTTTCCCATACCAATCTCTTGACTTCGTTGTCTTTAGGAGGTTGTTGGTAAGGGCAGAAGGGCATCTTTCCCAGACTGGTAATCCAGGGGTGGATCTCGATATCCAGCAAGGGAAGGCGTAGCTCAGGGCTAGGTTCTATCAGCTGGCACATCAACTCCTGGCAGTCTGCATAAAAAAAATCAATGGTTTGAAAGTTACAATGACTAAAGATATCTTGAAGTAGTAACACTTTTCCTCTATGCAAAATTGGATGCACTCAGCAACTCCTCAACTTGAGGCAGCAAATCTTTTTCAGAAGGGCTCCAACGAAATTTCTGTTCAACCTAAACATGGGTATTTCCAGGGTGGAGCCTGAACCAACTTTATGGGGGGGGGGCACATTATTTGACGGGGGCAGGGGGGTAAAAGATTTGGAAATTTCTTGTTGTAATCGTCAATGAGCTTTCTGATGGTTGAGGCTTTTTAAATGCCTTTGGAAGGAAGGGAAATGAGACGGCCCTTTACACAGCTTTTTGTTAGTGTTCAATTAATTTTACTGCTCAGGGGGAGGGGGAGATGGCCGCCAGTGTATGGGCTGTGAAAACAATAAGCTTAGCAAGTGCTTAGTGGAACACCGAGTTCACTCCTACTGCCAGGCAGATAAATGGTGCATAATTCAATGGCTTAATAATCCCGCATTCTTAAATGCCTCAGATATTCTCCCTATTCAACAACGTACAACTTGACCGTGTATTAACATTTGATAATGCCTGCTGAGAAGTGACAATGCCCGCTGCATAAATCGCGCGCTGGTACCTGGATACAAGATGGTTTAATTGATTCTGAATGGTCAAGAGTGTGAGCACGTGGCTTGCCATACACACGCTAGGTCCATATAAGGAGATCCTTTTGGACAACTTGCACAAGGAATATACTATGAAATGGACAGGGGTGTTGGGGAAAATGACAGTAAATTTTAGAACAAAATTGTTGGAAATCATTCATATATTGACTTCTTTTGACTCTCTGACTAAAAAGGTATTTAAGAATTGGAATAAATATGTGCTTGGCCAGTCTTAAATGGTACGTGCTCAGCAGAGTGATAATGCCCTCGCCTTTAGTCACGTCCATTCTCCTGAGATGGTCTTAAATGCACATTTATGACCGGCCAAGCAAATATTTATTCCTTTATTGAAAAATGTACCGTCAGACAGATGAGCCATCTCTCTGCCGTGGATGACACCCAGGCCATTCTGGATTTGTTGCATCAGTCGCTGTCGCCTGTTCTCCGAGTAAGGCGTGGAGAACGGTAGCCTCCCTGTTACCATGGCAAACATATTGATGCCTCTGCAGAAAAAGCACAGGTGGACCAAGAATTTGTCATGTTCATTCAGGGTCAAGGGAAATAAAACAAGCACTGAAATACAAATTGTAACAGAAACCAGCTTCTACCATTAAAGCACAAAATATGTTCCTATGATAAACTGGTGAAGTAAACTGTAAATTAATTTTCTGTCTTCATCAGCGTTTGGACCAATATTCCAGACGTACCCAACAATATTGCTAAAAATCATGATATGTATACTGATGGCGACTGAAGCTTTACTATCAAAGCTAAGCACAGTTTCAATCAAGCTGTTCTATCAGTAGAAATGGATCCCAAAGTTACCACAGCTGCGGTATATTGTGGTGGCAGAGACTTGAGCAGTGGATACCAAAGCAACGGTCAGAAAAAGATGCTGGAAGTCTAACTGGCTCAAAACCATCAGGAATAAGACATGAGCCACCAACACCTTACATAGTCCCAGACTTCACGCAAATAAGCTCTGACTAATCCAAGCACACTTCTGGGCACACCGCTGTGCGCACTTCTTGCATGATGTCTTTCGTGACATACTTGAATTCCCACCACTGTTGTTTGTCATATTTGACCATAGTTGGTGGGATTGGGTCATGTATGAATTACTAAAAAAAAACCTACAGGCTCCATATGTCCACCTCTGGGCCGTATTCCTGGTCAGTGATAAAGAGTTCAGGGGCAGCATACTCAGGTGAACCACAGTGGGTCTTGAGCAAACAGTCTGGAGAGAATGTATTGCTCAAACCAAAGTCTAACATTGGAACAAACAAAAACAAACACAGTACATTTACATCAAGGGATGAGTTAATGAGGACAAGAAAATATCTGCGTTTGGTCACTTATTAAATCACTGACTGATAGCCTGAGCCTGACAACTTCTGGGGTTAATTTGAGACATGAAACCTAAACAAAATCACATTGTGGGATTGTCAGTTATCGACTAATATTTCACCCATGCGATTGGGATTTTGTAACTCAAAAGATAAAAATGTCCAGGGTAGAGGAAAAACCTTTGGGGTAAAAACCTAGGGAAACAATTCCATATATGGACAAAACTAATTTTCCTTTAAAATGTTATGACATCCATCAAAAAGTGACAACATGTCATAAAAAGTGAGATTTAGCTGAGAAAATTCTGAAGCATTTACTTAGAAAACAGGTTTTTTCGGACAAATCTCATAGGTTTGTGCACAGGGGCATCAAGTGTTGTCCGTATATGGAACTCTTTCCAAACCTAGCCTAGCATATAAAATACATGTGTATAATTACTAAAATACTAATACCCAGTTTTTACAAATTCACTGAGGGAGCTAACCGTTTCATGCTATAACAACCTTATAAGTTTATAAGCACTTACCAACAATCTTCAGGTTTTTCCTCTCCTCATCCAGCATGATGTTCTCCATCTTGAGGTCCCTGTGAATGCATCAAGAAAACAAGCTTGGTTTAATTTTTCAAGGATTAGTTAAAGAAAAAATTACAAAGATGAGGGTCACTCTAGCTGGTCAGCGCAGGTTTGGCACTTTTATCATGCCGTCGGCCACCTCATCTCTATGATGTTGAGTACAGCACACCAACGGCTGCCTGCTCTCTTACCCTGGAATATCCCAAAATTTAGAATATCCAATGAGGAGTAGTCCGGTGCATGACCATGATTTTAAATCAGCTTCAGTATGTGGTGTCCAGTATTTAGTGGTATGGCCAGGCTCTTTGGGGGGGGGCATTAGGGGTGAACAGTTCCGGGGAGGAGGGGCATTTTCCCCTTGCCCCTCCCCCTGGGCAACCACTGCTGGCACTAAGACAGTGTTGTATTGGTAGGTGCGAGTTGAAATCTCATGCAGAATCTTGTTGTAATCAAAATAGAGAAGGATTAGTGTAAAAGGAAAAGTGGACGTAATAATTCACGGCATTTGTGGAAACGCGTCACACACATTGAAATCATAAACACCATATTCATGAGATAAAATCCTTTCCTCACTAGCTCCCCCTGCACAAAGTTCACCAGCACTTTTTACTACAAAGTTGGGGCCATTCCAGCAATAGGCCTTCCCACCGAAACTCTCGTGAATTTTCAGACGACATATTGCAATCAAAGTCTAAATTTCTGATGATAGGATACTTCTTTAATTAGTATGCATAAACAAACAAAAAACAACCTAAACAATAGACTTCCCAATAAAAAAAAACAAGTCTCTACTTGTCCAAGGTAGAACTAACATGATTTTCCGTAAAAGAAAAATGAAAAAACGACAAAAGTGGGTTGTGGAAACGTGCTAACCCTAAAAGAGCCTCATCTCACAGCCACCTCCCCCCCCCCAAAAAAAAAAAAAACTGGCAGTGCTTAGTTCAATATTTTGAAACTTGGCATACATGTAAACACACTCCTTATCATTACAAATGTGAAGTTTGAACCCAGTCGGATGTATGGTTTTGTTGTTAAGGTCTGTTGAATTCAAGGCTACGTGCGTGTCAGCCCGTGTGCACTAAACACCGCGTAGAGGGAAATGTAAATCATAATTTTTGACTGACCCCTCTCGGGAAAATGTGCGCTGTGCAGGAACGGTGTGTCTGAGCTTCACAAAATTGGCGTGACAATGACTGCAAAGAGTTACTCTATAACACCTGAAGGCTCAACTCAAGAAAAAAAATGCACTGCAGCGACCCCAGAAGAAATCATATTAGCTCCTTTAGAGCTAGTATGATTTTTCCAAAGAGCACCTGGGCATCATTTGCTTGTAAGTTTAACTTGTCCATCAACCCAAATGAAGTGACACCGCTGGCCTAAATGTTTCCGAGGAAATAAACAGGTGAAACACGCACGTCTGCAAAACATTCTGTAACACCTTCCAGGTGAAACTGAGGGACAATCTTTCCCCCTTAAGAGCTAATAAAACAAGCCCTGAGAAGGCCAATGGTCGGGGCCTTAAGGGGCTGGAAATATTGAGCTTCTAAGTTATACCTGTCACCCAAATGACCTCGCTTTTTTGTTGCACCTGCAGGACGACCCTGAGGCCGCCCTCACGGCGCGGCGCGTTTTGTAACACATCCCGCGGGGTCAACTGAAGTTGGCCTGGCCTTTGTAAAGAAACGGTTTTCGTAGTTTTCCAAAGTCAACAACTCCAGGAGACGTGCCAGAAAGAAACCCCGCCTCCCTTCCCGACCGAAACGGGAGAGGTTTGCCTCATCATATTACTTCGAGGATATCTGACATTTGTTTTCTGGTTTCGCAGTGCAGCTTCAACATTATCTTACACCGTCCGGGTGTTAACAACAAAAATGACTTTGGGTACAGTCGTGGGTCAAGCCTCAAGCAAATGTCCTCCAAAGAGTAACGAGACAGGTGTTTTAATTATAAATGATTTGGAGGCAATTTCAAGTCTTTATTCTGAGCCAATTTTCTGGGTAGGTATTCAAATCAACTACCCCCGAGACGGCCAAGCACAGCCTCCATAGACACAAGCCCGATGGCAGGAACCAACTTCGGTGTTCCATTCAATTCGCTTAATCCAATTCAAACACCACCACTAACGTGGCTAAGACCCAGTATGCCATGGGATTATTTTCCAGCTTTCGGGGGCCTTGAACCTTCCCGTCTCGGCCAAGGTGGATACGGCGCGCGACGACTACGCCTACCTTTGAAACTCGACGACAGTTGGTCCGCATAAAGAGCTGGCTGCCAAGCGGCCACGGGGGGGGGCTTTATTCATTATATTGAAATGGCAAACAGGTGAGAATAATTACGTGTCTTGGCCATTTCAAGGGGAGATTTTTGCAGTGTTGCAATTGACACCCTTTTAAATATTTCGGATACTACTGTTCAATAATTACTTAGATTTCCAGAAGTAAAATAGGTCCAACGACAAGGAAAACGGTATGCCAGTGGGAAGAAATAAACTGACATAAATGAATTTTATTGATATTAAACTTTAACGTCAACATTGACTATGCGACTCAGCTTTCGCGTAATCCTGCTTTAACATTCAAGAAACCCAGCTGCCTTGTTTGTCAAAGTCAGAGCACCGAAACATGTCTTCTCATCATTCGTGTTGGACTTGGCTCGAAACTGACGTTCCACCTGTGGGGAAATACAACTCGGGATCAATTCTTCAGGGGCACTTGGAATCTCGATCAGTTTTCGGGGGGTGGGGTGGTATGGTCCTAACTTTAAAACACAGAAAGTTGTTATTTTGCAGTTTTTCTCGAAATTGGAGGTTGGACAGATCACACAAGCCTCCATAGGAGTAGTCCCGTCCATTCCTTCCCAATCTACGCGGCACCTCCATGCATAATAGTTACGAACGCGCAAGCGTTGTATTATCGGCAAAATTTGAGAGGTTTTAGGAAAGGTAAACCATACCCGTCAAGTCCACCAGTGGTGATTTGACGGTACTACTTTAAGTTTAAATAGGGAAGGCCGAATTTCCTTCTTTCCTTCTCTGACTGGCTTCTTCAATTTTGAGGGCTACATATAAGTGCCTTTAACAATCTAAATCAGCGGAGCAGTTCCGTGCGCAATTTTGAGATATTTGTGCAAGAGCAAGAGTATAAAAGAATCATTTATAGCCGACTTTCAAAATAGAGGTCTGACCGCAAGACCCAACGCGGACTTCGTACGACGTCATCAATACATGATACCTTGAAACTTAAAAGCAGTTATACATGCGTGCTCCTTTTGTTTAAGAGCCCAATGTTTAAAAAAAAAACCTGAAAAAGTAAGGTCGCTCCTTCAATGTATTTTCAAAGAGAATTCAGCCCTCTAAAGCTTCGCTGGCGTCTGAAGCAAACGAAACCTTGAATTTGTAAGTCTTCCGGATTTATGGCAATGGGGGATCACGGCAAAGTTTTGACGCACGTCAATTCGCCGACAGTTCGAGTTTATCTGCAGGTTGACCTGAAAAACTACCAGCAGGGCTGCCTGAGCGACATGGGCAGAGTGACCTGACGCGCTGCCGAGTGGTAATGACCTGGATTTGACGGTAACTTCGGTATTTTGACGAGGCCGATCCTAATCTGACGTGTCCCCCGCTACAGCATTTAAAAGTCCCATAAACTTTTATAGAGAGTGTGCTTAAAATTTTACACTTTAGGGTACTTGCTGCTTGCAAAGGTACAGTTGAAGGAATCATGACAAACAAGTTTTAGTATGTTGTCAAACAGGATGTCTGACGGAAGTGTTCAGGAATGGTGAGAAAATTCCATGTCACTTCGTCGAAAGTGTATATGTGAAACTGCATGTGGCCTACACGAAGAAAATATCGTACATGTATTAAAGTTTTCTACCGAGTTATTTTTGCCAAGTATATCGGCAGGATGCGCCGAGTGCTTTCCGATCGCCTCTGTCGCGCTAGCTTAAGTTTAAGTCGGGATTTACAAATGAAATTCCAACAGCCAAGTTTGCATCACTGTCATAAAGTCCTGTTTACATCAGTATCACCTAAAGGGTAGTACAAGTGATATTTCTGAAAGTTCTCGGGATCCGACTGTCTGTGGTTTTGCGTAATATGTGGACAGCACGTTGTGCTGTCGTGTTTTTTTCACGAATCTTAGACAGAAGTTAGAGCCACACTAATACGGGCGTTTCACAGTAGTGCGCCACCAAGAGTTTGCAACGCGTTGGCCAATCACAATGCGCGAAATTTGTCGACCCAAAGCGCGTTTGGGAAGGGTCGACAGATTTCGCGCGTTGTGATTGGCCGACGCGTTGCAAACTTGTGGTGGCACACAATTGTGAATCGCCCGTATTGCCAGTTTAAATTAGAACCACTTGTTATTTCACGATGTTGCGGCCGACCATGTGAACTCCTTAAAAATAATTGAAAGACCAGGGCACAGTAGAAACTGCTGCGTTGCTGTCTCCTATGTGCGGGCAGCTATGATGTACCGTGGATGTACATACCATACCGCAGTTTCTGCAATGCATAGAGAAGATGGTTACGCATTTTGATATTAACAGGTCACCGTTGTTGTATGCATTGCGTCGGCTTGTTCTGTTTTCCGGGTTAGACATTTGGCATTTTAGGGAGGAAAACATGTTATTATGTTTCTTTTCATTCAGATGTTTTCGCGCGAGCCCTTCCTTTTTAACGAGGTCATTATGTCAACACGATTGGCTGACCTTCCCCAGTGTCAAAAGAAACGATGTAAAACAACCCTTCAAATGATGTCAAACTTTGACACGCGCTGGCCAGGTCAGGCCAGTAATAAGAGTGTCGAGGATATAGGAACAGTCTCGGTGTTCCGCAAGGCGGGCATGCACGTGAGAAATGGCCACGGTCACCAACACCGATCCTCGAGCACTCCCCAGCGGCTTGTTAAGGCCAACTGGTCTCCGGTGACCAACACAAATATACATGGCGCTGGTGTTACAAGTCACTGTCAACTGCAACACCGTGTTGTTATAGCGACAGCCACACTGC